TAAAATTTGGCAAGACCAACGACTTCCTCATTGGAAATGCCTGTTTACAACATAAATGATAACTATACAGGTGGACTTTGCTGGATGAAATACACAGGAATCATATCAACTACATCTGTGGAAAGAGATGATGGAGAAGCTCAGTATCATCAGTTAGCACAAAGCAAGGAGCCGAGTATGGAACAGACTATCAATTGCTCCTACACAAGTTCAGGTTGAAGCTGGAGAAAATTAAAAAAGATCTACAAGAGACAAATGACAATCTTGTGTATATCCCACCTGAATTTAGAGACCATCTCAAAAACATATTTGATGCAATGAACACCAATGACTGAAGACCAGACAAGTGATGGGATGACATCAAGGACACACATGAAGACAGCAAAAGGTCTCTAAGAGGACAAGAAAGGAAGGTGAAAATGAATGCCAGAAGAGACTGTGGAACTTGCTATGGAACAGAGTGTAGCTAAAGAAAATGGAAGAAATGATGAAGTGAAACAGCTGAATAGAAAATTTTAAAAGGTAGCTCAAGAAGACAATATAAAGTATTATAATGAAATGTGCAAAGACCCGGAGTTGAAAAATCAAAAGGAAATAACATGCTTGGCATTTCAAAAGCTGAAAGAACTGAAAAAAAATTCAAGCCTTGAGTTGTGATATTGAAGGATTCTATGGGCAAAATATCAAACAATGCAGGAAGCATAAAAAGAAAACAGAAGGAATAGAGTCACCATACCAAAAATAAACAAACAACATTCAACCATATCAAGAGGTAGTATGCAATCAAGAAGGAAGATGTCCAAGCTGCACTGAAGACACTGGGGAAAAACAAGGCATCAGGAATTGACAGAATACCGACCGATATACTTCAACAAATGGAAACAATGCTAGCATCTATGCCAAGAAATCTGGAAGACAGCTACTTTACCAACTGACTGGACAAAATCCATACTTGTGCCTATTCCAAAGATAGATGATCTAATGGAATGTGGAAATTGTTAAATGGTATTATTACTTCACATTTAAGTAAAATTTTGCTGAAGATAATTATAGTATGGTTGCAGCAGTTCGTCGATAGGGAACTAACTGTCAGAGGTTCAAGCTAGATTCAGAAAAGGATGTGGAATGAAGGTTATCACTGCTGATGTTGGATCCTGGCTGAAAGCAGAGAACACCAGAAAGATTTAATTTGACTATGTGGATCACAGCAAATTATAAATAACATTATAAAGAAAGGAATTCAAGAACACTTAATTGTGCTCACATAGAGCCTATACACAGACGAAGAGGCAGTTTAAAAAGAATAAAGGGATATTGCGTTGTTTAAAATCAGACAGCGTGTATGCCTGTGTGGTATCCTTTTACCATACTTATTCAATCTGTATGCTGAGCAAATAATTCAAGAAGGTGGACTATATGAAGAGTATAGCATCAAGATTTGATGAAGACTAATTAACCTGTAATATGCCTAAGGCACTGGATTGTTAACCAGAAGGCTGGCGGTTCAAACCCACCAGCCACTCCTCTGAAGGAAGATGAGGCAATCTAGTTCCGTAGTGATACTGCCTCGGAAACCCAAGGAGGGGTCGCTATGAGTCGGGTCCAACTCAACGGCATATACAATGCAAATGATACAACCTTGCTTACTAAAAGTGAAAAGGACTTGAAGCACTTACTGATGAAGATCTAAGACTAAAGCCTTCAGTGAGGATTACACCTCAACATAAAGAAAAGAAAAACCCTCACAACTGGACCAATGGGCAACATCATGATAAAAAGAGAAAATATTGAAATAGTCAAAGATTTCATTTTACTTAGATCTACAATCAACACCCATAGAAGCAGCAGTCAAGAAAGCCAATGACATATTGCACTGCTGCAAAAGACCTCTTGAAAGTATTTAAAAAAAAAGAAAAAAAAAGCCAAGATGTCACTTTGAGGACTAAGGTGCATCTGACTCAAGCAGGTATTTTCAATTGCCTCATATGCATGTGAAAGTGGGACAATTAATAAGAAAGACTGACTAAGAATTGATGTCTGAATTATGGTACTGGCAAAGAATATTGAGTATCATGGACTGCCAGAAGAATGAACAAATCTGTTGGAAGAAGTACAGTCAGGATGCTCCTTAGATGTGAGGATGGCATAGGACCAGGCAGTGTTTCTGTCTTCCTTATTCACTATCTAGCTTTTCTCACCATCTCTCTACACAGATGTAACCAATTTGATTCTTGTTTATCCCATGTTGCAAGGTCCACGTGTATATGCTCCATCTGTGTTGTTGAAAAAACATTATTTGCAGTGAATAAGTCATTGGTCTTGCAAAATTTCTATCATGCGATCTCTCAATAAGGCCATATTTTCCTTGTTTCCTGATCTTGTTCCCAACTTTTGCATCTCAATCACCAATAATTATTAATGCATCTTGATTGCTTGTTTGATCAATTTTAGACCACAGAAGTTGGTGAAGTCTTTCATTTCTTCTTCTTTGGCATTAGTGGTTCATGTGTAAATTTGACTAACAGACGCACTAACTGGTCTTCCTTGTAGGCATATAGATATTATCCTATCACTGACAGCACTGTAATTCAGGAATATGCTGAAATGCTCTTTTTGATGATGAATGTGATGCCATTCTAGTAACACACAACATGCAAACCATTCCCAGTACATGCAACAAACAAACAGAGAAAGGTGTGGTAGACTTAATAAGTAGTATCTTAAAGCACAGAGCAATCTGTTTTGAGGCTTGATAACATTATTACTTTTTGTCCAAGTACTTTCAGCTAAAAAACTTAAGGAAATGTGAGCTCTAGTTCTGCTTCCCCTATTCAACAGCTCTAAGAAGTTAAACATAGCAACCCCTTTTGGGTTTCTGAGGCAGTAAGTCTTTATGGAAGTAGACTGCCCAGTCTTCCTTCTGCAGAGTGGCTGGTAGGTTTGAACCACCAGCCTTCTGGTTAGCAGTCAAATGCCTTAGGCACTGTTCTGGTTACCTAGTGCTGCTCTGAAAAGAATATACCACAAATGGGATGGCCCTAACAAACAGGAGTTTATTCTCTTACAGTTTGGAGACTTTAAGTCCAAGTTCAAAGTGCCAGGCTCTAGGGGCTGGGTGAAAGCCCCTCAACCTTGGGGTCCAGCTCTGCCTCCTGCTCCCAGCCCACTGGAGCTAGAGGCTTTTCTTTACTCAGACAGCTGCTGGCTGCTGAGGCTGAGAAGCCCCAAGGTTGACAAAGTGAAAAGGCACAGTCCCGATATTACCAAACCACATGTCATGACATTAACTTAAGTCCATTTTAAGTCCCAAGGTCGGCAGAACATGGCAGGCTGCTGAGCAATGACACAGCTACGTGCAGTGTCCAAGCACGCCACAGGCTAGAGACCATTCCCAAGGCTTCTCCTTATATACAGGAAACAGACCACATACCCAAAGCACCTACTCAGCTGCTTGCGGTAGATCCCACCATGGAGTTGACTGTCAGTCTCGCTGTGGGGAATACTACCACCAGCTGCCCAGCCATTCAACCAGGCCCAGCCAAGTTGACACACAAACATAACCATCACAGGCACTGTGCCGCCAGAGAGCCTTAAGAAATTAAACAAGTCATCCAAGTGCTCTAGGAAACTATTTTCTTATTTCAAAAATGAGGAAATTAAGAGACTTCTGGTAAGATGGAAGAATAGGCAGACAAGCTACACAGACCCTCTTCAACAAAGGAAAGAGAAAACAATTGACAGAGTATACAGAAAATAATACTGGAATACTGGAGCCCTGAGCTTTGAAAGGAAGTATACAGAAGTGGATTAGGCACCAACAAGTGAAAAAACCTGAACAAAAACAGTGAGTATGGAAATAGAGCAGTGTACTATCAGCTACTCTAACGGGACCAACAGCCTGAATATTTCCAAGTGGTGTTGGAGCCTGAGAATTGACTTAAAGATCAGCCCTGGTTGCCAAGGGCTGTACGGATGACTATGCTGGTGGCCTTTGACTAGGAAGGGAAACAGCAAGGCAAAGATAACCTGAGCTGTGGATGTTCTGCTGTCTGGAGGGTGCAGCCATTTTGGATATTTAAAGTCAACAAGGGCACAGCCATTTTGAATGTTTACAAGTGGTGGCCATTTTGGATATTTACAGTGACCCAGGGTGCAACCACTTTGAATCTTTATAAGAGGCGGACATTTTGGATTTTAAAGTGACAGCATTCTCATTTGGATTCCAGTGACCTAAGAATAAGCTCCATTTGCAAAGGACAGCAGGGACATACAGGAATCTGACAACGGGAAAGGAGACAGGTAGTGAGTGTGTAAGTGCTGCTAACTACTGAATAGAGGAGCACAGTACCCTGCTTACTTAGATAAAACCCAAAGAAAACAAAAATCGTGGGCTAGTCACTTCAACATACAATCACCAATCAAATATAAACACAAAAATGTCATAATGCCTCGGACACAACAGAACATCAGTCCACACAAAGAAACAAGATAAAACAGGAAAACAAGGGACCAGGATACAGACCCAAAACACATCCCTGAGAAAGATGCAGCATTGGAACTCCCTGATAAGGAATTCAAAAGAATTATATTTAGGTATCTTCACTGAATTGAGACACAGATCAAGGAAAACATTGACAAAACTGAGGAAAATACAGAGAAAACTCTAGAACGATTTAAAAAGACAATACAAGAACAAAATGACAAAATAAATGAAAAATTAGAAATGATACAAAATCTACCCATAGAAATCCAGAATATTAATACTAAATTGTCAGAAATAGATTAAGACATTGAATGAGCAAAGGAGTAGAACTGAATCAAAAGAAGACACAGAATTAGTGAGATTGAAGGCAAATATCTCAACATTTCTTTAGAAAGTGATCAATCAGAAAAAAGATCAAAACAAAATGAAGAAAGCCTAAGGTTTATGTGGGATACCATCAAAAGAAATAACCAACATGTAAATGGAATTCCAGAACAGGAAGAGAAAAACGAAACCACAGAAAAAATGGTCAAAGATCTGTTGGAAGAGAATTTTCCTGCTATGAAGAAAAATGAGAATATATCCATTCAAGAAGTCCAAAGAACCCCAAACAGGATAGACTCCAAAAGAAAATCAACAAGACATGTCATCATCAAACTCACCAAAACCAAAGACAAAGAAAGAATCTTGAAAGCACCACAGGAAAAGCAAAAATTTACCCACAAGGGGCAACCAATAAGACTAAGCTCGGATTTCTCGGCAGAAATCATGCAGGCGAGAAGACAATGGGATGGTATATATAAAACCCTGAAAGAGAAAATCTTCCTACTAAGAATTATGTACCCAGCAAAACTGTCCTTCAAATATGATGGTGAAATTAGGACATTTCCAGATAAGCAGAAATTAAGGGAATTTGTTAAAACCAAATGAACCTTACAAGAGATGCTAAAGGGAGTCCTTTGGACAGAAAAGCAACAACAGCAAACAACAACTAACCATTAACACACGTGGTGACATAACCCAGAAACCAACCCAGCTATGGAAGTATCCAAAGTAAATAAGCCTACAAGACTGTAAACAGGGAATCAGAGACATCAATTGACAAATGAGGACAACTACAAACCATAAAGAGGGAAAAACGGTGTAGTTACAGAACTTCTAAATGGTAGGGAAGTCAAGACAACCAATAGATAGAACAGACAGTAAACCTGGGAAGAAAACTATAAATCACAGGGTAACCTCAAAGTCGTTCTGCTGTGCATGGGGTTGCTATGAGTCGGAAATGACTCGACGGCACTTAACAACAACAACAACAACTATAAATTGGAAGTCTTTTTAATGAACTATACTATGTTTAAACTAGAAATCGATATTAAATCTGCCTAAATATTTAGAAAAATGGTATCAACTTAGTGCTTTTAGCTTGAGTCTTAGGTTTACCTCTTAAATAGGTGAGATGCACGGTACCATCTTCTTGTTGCCAGTCTTGGATACAGGGTGAATGATCTGATAATACACACCACTCAACTATATATTTATTTACAGATTCATTAGGAGCAGTCCATTCAACCCAAAGCCTGTTATCCTTGGGGAATGCTTTAAGGTCCGTTACAGGGTGAGAAGCTTTAAAAAAAAGTTAATACAATATTAACATGTATTGAAAATACTTTATAATTTACATTTAAGGAGGATAATCGATTTATTTTCACTATTCATTTTCTCTCAAAATTCTTCAAAATATTTTGTGTACGTAAGTTTGTAATTGGAAACTTTTCTTCTTTGAAAGCTACAGAGGAACAATATATTTAATTTATTAAAACCTTTAAATATTTTATATAAATACATATAAAAACACACACACACACTCTCTCTCTATAATACATGGGAGCTCTGGTGGCATAGTGCCTAAGGCATTTGACTGCTAACCAGAAGGCTGACGGTTCAAACCCACCAGCCACTCCTCAGCAGGCAGACAGGGCAATCTACTTCTGTAGTGACACCACCTCAGAAACCCAAGACGCGAGGTCTCTATGAATCAGATCCGACTTGACAGCGAGTTTGGTTTTGTTTTTATATAATACATACAATATACGTATGTAAAATATAACATATATAACGTTATCAAAACCTTTATATATTTTTTAAAATATTTTCTGAGACACAAGTGCTAAGGAATTAAGTATCTTACTGTAAGATTTAAGTGAGCCACACAGTGATGAAACAGATGATGTGGCTGCTACCAGAACAGATTATATGCTACCACCAGAGCTCCTTATTTGGCTGTTGACATCTTGTTGTTGTTGTTATGTGCCGTCGAGTCGCCCCGACTCATAGCGACCCCTCCTTGGGTTTCCGAGGCAGTATCACTACGGAAGTAGGATTGCCCAACCTTCCTTCCGAGGAGTGGCTGGTGGGTTTGAACCGCCAGCCGTCTGGTTAGCAGGCAAGTTTCTTAGCCACTATGCTACCAGAGCTCCTTGTTGACATCTACAACTATGATTATCTCTGATGCTAGGAATAGGGTTAGACCACTTGTGTTGTTTTACTGGAGCCCTGCTCATACATAATAACTACCCTCTTCCACAACTGAGATGTGAGTTCTTTCACAGACACAAACCTTGGAAGTCACAGGCAGGGATAGTTAAAATAGATGCATCTGATCTGCCAACCAGATTTCTTGCTGTCAGAGTTGCTATATAGCGATCGTTTGTGAGGTTTACTGTCAGTTTTGTGTCATTAACTCTGTAATTTTGAAAATGAGATTTCCATCTTGTAAGAGTCACTTCATAATCCAAGATTTTTCCATTGGCTTCAAAAGGTGGCAATGTCTGTAATAAAATAGGTTGTTAGAAAAACCATTTTATACATCTTGAATAAAGTTAAACAGTTTTTCCTTCTTTCACCAAGAATTGTCACTAATTGTGTCAAATCTTTTAAGTAATTTATTGGAAGGAACTGGCAACCTCAATTTGAACTGGGTATTAAAGTAAAAGTACTACATTCTGAATAAAGGGTAAAAAGCCTGACCTCAATTAAAAGAGGGGAAAAAGGAGCATTTGTGATATATGATTCTGCACTGTGGATATGTGGGCTTATTTTAGACCTTTATTTAGAGTACTCACCTCACCTTACTACAATGTACTTTCAACACATTTATGAAGAGTGCAATAATTTTACATTTCCTATTATTAGCACACATTTTGTTGTTCTTTATGTCTAAAAGACTAATTAATTACCCAAAACTTCTCTTCTATGAGGCACTCTGGAAAATACAGTAAAGTACAAAAAATGTACCACCTATACAACTTACACATTTCTAAAACTATGAGGTATTCCCTGCAGTTTAGGAACCTGATTTCTATATAGTATATATAAAGCTTTGTATTTCTATTTAATTATTAAACATCGTTTACAAGGGCTTTGCTTATTTAAAATGAATACATTTTAAGGTTTTTAGGGAAAAACACTCTACTCATACTACCATAGAAAAGTGTATTATATGAGATAGAAGAATATAAACACATTACTTATTTATTTACCTTCCACATGAGTTTTACAGGTCTATAGCCATGAGTATGGGATGGATCTATCTTATACCAGAAACTTGGTTCTTTGGATGGTCCTAAAATAAAGACAAAAATTTATTTAAATAAAAGTTTTTAACAGTAAATTAAAATCCTGGAAGTTATTCTCTTACCTTGTTCCTAATATTCTTCCCTCTCAATTACAGTGATACCTCTAACTCTTAATACTAGCATTTTCCTATCCCAGCATGGGTTTTCCTGTAGTGTCATGGTAATAGTTTGATGATTTAGCTTGCATTAGAACTCTTTTCTAACCTCAAAATTGTAAATGTACAGACATATCCTAAGCAATAATTACAATATGTATCATTATTTCTTTGTGCCAAAAAATCAAATTGATAACTCATATTTCAATAAATGCTGAAAGCTCCCAAATATGTAAGAATATGAAACAAACTAGAATAAATGTCAAATCTCTAGCAGAGTTTGAGGTGATGGGATATTGGTGGTAGGGGAGATTTCTAAGCCACAGCTGCTGCCACTGAGACCTAACGGGTCAAACCATGCTAGGAAAAAGTTCAAAAAGGAAAATCTATGTCATAAAATCGTATCATGAAGGTTACACAAGAAATTAGCAATTTATTTATTTAAAGTTTATTATTTTATATTGGGATGGTTTAAGATAATGGAATAACTAACACTAAAACCCATAGAACTGTAGAAGTGAAGATTGTTGAAATGTCAAATGTGTTGTTACATACCTATTCACCACAAATTAAAAAAAAAAACAGGATTTTTGTGCTAATCACTAACCATATGAAAAAGCACTCTGTAAAATACAAAATGTCAAATATTAGTAACTAGGTTTTTAAAATGCTTGTATTTTTTAAAATATAAACATAAGATAAAATACAAGAATAAAGTGCAACACCCAAAGGAAACAATATTACAAAGGAAACTTTATGGCCTAGAAATATTTCCTAACATAACAAAGAACCTAGAGGCTTTATTCATTAAGTTTAAGAAATGCCTAATCCAACAGTTCATAAACTTTCGGACTCCAGAATTTGCAATCACGTGAAAAAGATAATGTACTTTTCCCTATAAAAATACACATAGGAATTAAGCACAATATTTTGCCTACATATAAAGTATTTCCTGAGTTCCTCTAAACTTCTGTATATTTCTAAAGGGCCTAAGAATCCCAGTTGAAGAACTTCTGGCTAAGACAAAGGAATCTGGTTGAGAATCCCAAAACAGCAATAGCAGGACAGCTTTACTTCCTAGCACTTAAGAGTGGGAGAAAATTCTCAGGGGAGAAGGGTACTTTTCTGCCTTTGATACTTCTCAATTCAGATAACATTCTAAACCTCTAGTAGAGTTTGAAGTGAAGGGATGTGGGTGGTAGGGGAGGTTTCTAAGTCACAGCTGCTGCCATTGAAACCTAAAGGGTGAAACTATGATAGAAAAAAATTCAAAAAGTAAAATCTATGTCATAAAATCATATTATGAAGGTTACACAAAAATTAGCAATGTTAGTTGCCTTGGGAAGGGAAGATTAAGACCATACACCTTTTTGTACTCTTTACATTCTTCTATGCATGTATTATATTGTCTACGGGGAAAAAGGGAAAATGAAAACCAACCAATAACCTACAATTCCAACCTTTTTCCATGGATTACCAAGTGCTGGTAGGAAAAAAATTATATAGCGATAGATAGATAGACAGATGAGACAAGGATCTTTTTGACAGTGAGGGTCTAAGGTATAATCACAATATGATTATAATGTTTCAGGATATGATTCTCTGGTTAGGGGTAACCTTTAGGCCCTTTCCCTTCAATAAAATGTTTTGGACTTATCAACCTTTAAGTAATTCAGTGGTATGCTGATGGTATCTAAGACACCATTCCATGATAATTATCTTGAATTAAGTATCAAATAGATTTATGCTACCAATAATGCATGTTAAATTTTACATACTGATTGTTGTTGTTGTTGTTGTTATGTGCCGTCGAGTCGGCCCCGACTCATAGCGACCCCTCCTTGGGTTTCCGAGGCAGTATCACTACGGAAGTAGGATTGCCCAACCTTCCTTCCGAGGAGTGGCTGGTGGGTTTGAACCACCAGCCTTCTGGTTAGCAGTCAAGTGCCTTAGGCACTATGCTACCAGAGCTCCTAAATCAAATTTGAATAACATGATCACAAAATAACAAACAGTGAGGGAGATGGTCCAAGGTGGCAGTGTAACCAGACAACTATGCCACTCTTCTACAGTAAAGACCCGAGAAACCAAGTGAAACATACAGGACACAATCCTGGAACTCTGAGCAGCAAATGGAAGGATAGAGAATTAGATCAAACACCAACTGGAAAAAGAAACTGCAAGGAAACAGTGAACAAGATATGAAGTAGAGGTGTCCTGCCAACTGTCTTGGCACAGCAATGCCATCTTGAGACAAAGCCAGAAGAGATCTTGGGTGAGATGCACAGGAAGGCAACTTCACAGAATCCATAACAGGAGACAGAGAAACTGTGGACATACCTGGAATGAAACAAGGTGAGCAAGACATGATTGGAACTAAGGAGGAAAAGTGCAGAAAGGAGAGTGCGAGCTCCAGGGATCCTGGCAGGGAGAGAGCCAGAATCCAGAGACAGGGACCAGTGGTGGTCCCTGACCATTAGGGTAGGTAGTGTACATGGAGTAATAGATCCATAGTGTTAGCAGGTGGTCCCCATCCAATTGCACTCCAGGCAGCCCATAACCTCCTTGCACTCTGTCAGGGCCAAGTCCTGATTGCTGGCTGAAGCCAACAGGAAGTGCCCAGGTATCCAGTACTGGTAATCAGGAGAACACACTACTGTCCGTCCTCCTGGTGATTAGTGGCACAAATGCCCTCAGTACTTGTTACCCCAACCATCTGGGAACTGCAGTGCAAGTCTCTCTCTTCCCTACCACCCTGCTCAATCCGCCCTCACTCCCTGTACCAACTTGGCGAAAGGCAGTATGTCTGTGCTGCTAGTTACCTGCCACATCCCCCTGCCTGTGGTCCCACCCACCTGGCAAATGGCAGAGAGTGCCCTGGTTTCCAGTTGCCTGCCACCACCACCCTCGCATTGCCTTGTCAACCTAGAGAACAGCAGTGAGTGTCCCACACTCCAGTTTGCCCACTACATTGCCCACCTGTTGCTCTACCCACCCAGTGAGTGACAGAGAACAGTTTTTGCTCCTGGTCTGTCAACTCCCACACCCACAGTCCATTATCCTGTTCATCTGGCAAGTGACAGAGAGCGCCCTGTGCTCCTGGTTGCCCATCACACACCCTGTCTGCTGCCCAGCCCATCTGACAAGTGAGTGCCCTGTATTCCTGCTCATTTGCCACACCCCTTGCCTGCCACCTTCCCACCTTATGAATGACAGAGTGCTCTGCACTGTCAGTTGCCCATCACCCCCCACCCCCTAGCAAGCGTCAGAGTACCCCCACAATCCTGATCACCTGCCACACCCCCACCAGTCAAGCACCAGTAAATGCCCAGTGTTCCCAGTCACCTGCCACATCCCCCACCTGTTTCTTCCTCCATTTGGCAAATGGCAGAGAGCACTCATGTCCCCGTCACCTGCCACAACTTGTCTGCTATCCTGCCTACCTGGTTAGTGGCAGGAAGTACCTTGCACCACTATACTGATGGAAGTGGTAGCCTGTGCATGCCCAGCCTGGCTTCAGCTGCACAGCACACTTGCTGAACACCAACTGCCTGACACTGATCCATCCACCTGCAGACAGGTAAGGAACACACCCACCCTGCCCACCCTGATATATCAAAACAAAAGAAAACGAAGAATCAGGGCAAACATTCATTCAATCAATAATTACACAAACAAAAGAATGCTTTAATGCCTTGGAGACAGCAGACAATAACAAATCCTATGACAAGATAAGATGGTGTAAGCAAGGGTGCAAAATAAAAGTGCTAAAAGAATTTCTGAAGAATTAGTTCTAGAACGATCAGTAAGGAGTTAAAATATTTAGATACAGGATCCTCAAGGAGAGCAAGAAAAACAGACAGAATCCTAGAAGAATTCAGTAAAATAGTACAAGAACAAACTGACAAAATAGACAATTAGAAACCATAGAAAAACATCTTCTAGAAATCCAGAAGATTAACAATAAAATATCAGAAGAAGATAACTCAATGGAAGGATACAGAATTAGAAGTGAATTAATGGAAGAAGAATCAGCAAAATAGGGGACAAATTCCTTGATATTATTCTGTTTGAACAGTAATCAGAAAAAAGAATAAAGAAAAATGAAGAAAACCAAGAGGAAGAATTTACACATAACTGGAATTCCAGAAGAGGAAGAGAGGGGGAAAAAGCACACAGAGAATTTTTGAAGATTTATTAACAGAAAATGTCCATAATATCATGAGAGATGAGAAAGTTTCAACCCAAGAAGCTCAATGAACCTGAAGCAGGATAAACCCCAAAGAAAGTCACTAAGATGTATCATCAAACTTTCCAAAACCAAAGAAAAAGAAAGAATTCTGAGAGCAGTTTGTGAAAAATGAAGTATCACCTAAAAAGGGCCTCAACAACACTAAGCATTGATTTCTTGGCAGAAGCCCTGCAGATAAGAAGACAGTGGGATGGTATACATAAAACCTTGGGGGAAAAAAAAAGAATTATCAACAAAGAATCACATACCCCACCAAAGTGGCTTTCAAATATAATGGCATTAACTAGGATACTCCCAGATTAACAGAAATTAAGGGAATTTGTAGAAACCAGACCAACCTTAGAAGAAATACTAGAAAGAGTCCTTCAGACAGAGGACCAACAACATGAGACAACAGCCTGAGATCAAGAAACTACACAGCATCACCCAAATGCAACCCAAACATAAAACTAAAATAAATCTGCAAAACTGAAAACTGGGAACCAGAGATATTAATTTGTAAATGTTGACAACTTCAAAAAAAAGAAAAGCCAAAAGGAGGAAAAATGGTGTAGATACAGAACTTCCATGTGGAGAGGACGTCAAGTCAGTATCAAGATATAATGGACTGTTTTAAACTTAAGAAAATAAAAGTAAATTC